ATGAAGAGCTGTTGGGCCAGTTACCTTAGAGTGCGTGCCATAAATCTCAGCCACTCAGTGAAAAGCACAGTAGGCAACTAGTATACGTTAATCATTCCAGTAACTAACTCTATGAGTATCAAATTGTTCTTTTAGTGTGTTCACTAAAAGAGATGCTGTCACTTGTTCCGTCAACAAGTTTCAGTTATTAATCAATCTGCGGGAGAACGGGCGTTCCACTGGAAGATAATTTAAAAGAGCCTCTTAAACATTTTTTCGTAGTTCCTAAAATCATAAGCCTTAGGATGAGGGTAAGGGGATTAAAGAAATGAGGCAAATTTATACCGGAATCGTTATACCGAAGGCTCAAACTAGATCGTCTCCTTTCTTACGATGGCGCAAGTGAGAAAAGGTGTAGCACTCGTAACCAGAGAACAGAGTCCACTGGCGATACGCTCTGAAGCCTTGTGTTCCACTAGGAACCCAAGAAGTTAATAATAATAATAATAGCAATAATAATAATAATAGACTTTTGAGTGAATTAACACTAGCTGATATTGGTAGCCATTGCCGAGATTTGGTTTGTTCTTGATCGAAGTGAAACTCATCAACTATCTTAATACAATGGTATTAAGCTGAAATGATAATCAGCGCGAAGTCGTAGTTGAGCAAGTGCTGTACTTGACGGATAAGCATCAAGTACTACTCGCCAGTCTTGCAGCACACGATAGTGGAACTTGTGTGGTAATTATTCATTCAGTTTATTTTTTGCTAGGATGTATATTTGTTGATGTATTAGTCTGTCAGGTCGACAAATTTATAGTTTATCAGCCATTGAAGTAAAGCCAGCTGTCTTTTCACAATGGGAGATTCCGAAGTACCTGGCATAAACTGGGTTATGATGTCCTCATTGGGGTCACGTTATTTATTCCACAGTAAGTCACCGTTTTATTTTATGGAACACGGTTTGACACAGCACGTCTGCAGTGACATGTCTTGGGGCAAGTCAATGGTCTTCCCTGCTAAATCTTGTATTGAGGCATTCGGTGGAAGGCATAGCCAACCTAGAAATTCTTCCGTCATTAGGAACGCAACGCACTCAGTCACCTTGTGCACATCCATGAAGTAGGTAGTGACTCACCTATTGTGTGAGGGCTAGTGATACTACCTGGGTGCCGAAACCTGGGCCGAGGCTCGAACCCGTGACTCAGAGGTTGGTAGTTATCTCCCTAAACCACAGCTCCACTTCATTTGCAAACATGCAGTGCTTTCATCCCAGCTTAGAGATATTGTCAGTCTGTCAGCTTGTCTAGTCTCTCCTGAATGTCGGGCGGTGAACACGACGGCTATTACAGAACACGTTTTGACGGCCTATTAGTAATTTGATGTTACTTAGTATAGTGAATAAGCGTGTAGTAAATCAATGCTACACTTAAAGCCATTAAGTGTCTGAGAGCACCTTAGTCGTTCCTAAGTAGACAAACTAACTGTCCTCCATAGGTATGCACACAAGCTAAGAAATCACTGGTAAGTTGCTTAAGGGGAACACCTTACTCTTTTCACATGTGTCCAGACACCAGTACTGTTTCGCTGTTGGATCTTCATCACAGTGTGGTTTATTCACATCAACGACATCTGAGTTTAGTTTCACGATTATCCAACTGACCTTATTGGCATAGTAAGGATCTCAAAGAACAGTCATCCTAGCCAATACATCTAGTTGGGTTATTGGAACGTACCATTCTGAACCAACACCAAGTAAGCAGCTGTCATGTGCTATCAAAAATGATCCTAAAACACCGTTATAAACATAGATGTGTCGTATTTGTAATTCATGTCTTAACATATATACATACTAGCCGCACGAGGTCTGTTAGTAAAAAAATACACGATGTGGTCCTGGCGGTAGAGGAAATAATGTATAACAAATGTCTTAACTAACTAACGGTAACCAAGTTGATATATTCATTGACTAATATGATTCTTAGATTTCTCAACATAGCAGTAACGAGTCAGTTAGGAAAAAAGAACACATTCTCCATGTCAGGTTGGTATTCAACATAGACTGACGTCAGCTGGTGAAACCTTGGAACCTGGGAGCACTGGACAGCTGTTTCACCCTGGTGTGGGACTCCTCAGCAGTGTGCACCCATGACCCTACCAGAGATGGAGCTCAGGACCTTCAGATCCCACGGCCAGCACGTTACCATTGATCTACTAGGTCAGAATCCGATGGTGCATATTTCCTACTTCTGTTAGTTCATGATATAGCGCGACCTACAACTCAAAATCAATAAGTAAATCCTCACAAACCTGCAAATTGAAGATTCTGCATGTGTTATTGGAAATACTTGTACTTATTTATGTTAGGTGAGTTCATAAAACTCTAAAAAACACATGACTAATTCAAGCAGCAGAGAGAAATACATTTTTTGACTGTAGTGAGTTGACTAACTTGCAACAGAACAGGACTGTTAGCATTTCTTTGGATTCAGTAGGGCGTATCGGTTTTTCTTATGCGTAAAATGGTTTCTTGTGAATAATAATAACCCGCGACCGTTATGCGCAGTTGCATAAACTGTTCATACAGGAGTTTCCAAACTGTATAATATTATTGACGAACTGCTATATGAAATCTCACTATTGTTAACACAGTACAGACATATAACTGTAGAAGAGAATATTTTTTGTGGAGCTGGTTACATAAACCTCACAAAGCATGTTCTATCCAAACGCATCCCAGAACACTATCTATCCTATATGGCTGTCTAAAGAATAGAGCAAAGCGGTTGACAGCTCGATCCTTGAGCATTTGATTAACTCTAGTCACTCTACTCCACAAGGATTTCCCTCCAGTCATATATAAAGTGAAATCAAACATTTCGAAACCAATGCACATTCGTCACCTGAACACAGCAGAAGCTTTGGCAATTCAGTGGTTTAAGTTTGATCTATATCTTCAAAAGAGATACATTCAATCTCTAATTTTACCTTGGCCATAATCTCCCTAAGGCATTTTATTCATTTACTGTAATCTCATAAACAATTTCTGAATGACCTTCTAGCCACAGTCACTTTGTGACTGACAGCTTTTGATGATTTTGTATTGATCCATTAGCTACTAATGGATTTATATTTTATTGCAACTATAACTACTGTTGTACGAGTGTTGGAAATGATCCGTCGAAATAAAATCCCCTTCGCTGGATTTTCATTTGTTAGTTGTTCATCATTTTCTGTCCATTCAAATTACAGGTCAAAGGTGTTGATGACTGGAAACATTTATGGACTCAACTAACTGCACCACCAAACTGATGGGGTTACTACTAGGACTTTTTTTTGGCTCATCTCAAACATACAAGCCTCCATTCAGCTATCAAGGAAACAGCATATTAGTTGACGATACTTCTGTTGTTTGTGGCAATAGAAACTCTGCAGCAGTGCTGTTTAAGGTTTTCAACCAAACCTATCGTAACATGCATACTAGAATGTAATATGCAAGGGAAGAAAGGCTAAACCTTTTGGATCTGCGTATTATCCAGGAATGATTGTACTATTGAGAAAACCATGCCCATAAAGGATACATGGACAAGATAGCACCTCAAGTATAATCATTTTTGTCCTGTTAGTCATAAAAGTGGTCAAGTCAAAGACACTGTTCAACAGTGTAAGGAAATTATGCTCACACGATAAACTTGAAGAGGAATCGGGATTCTCCTTGTTGGGTCGCAAATAGAACGAAGACAAGACAGTAGTTAAGGCCAAAGTGTCTACAGAAAACCATTGTGATCCAACAGATACCTAGACTTAGGGTTATCTCACCCAACAACAATGAAGACAGGCTTAGTCAAATGTTCAAGTAATTGGGTTAGGAGTTCATCCAATAAATAAAAAAAATTAAATAAAGAAGAGAAACACACAAGAGAAGTTTTACTCCTTATGAACTATTCTCCCTAAATATATTTGGAGATAGATTAAGAGTTGTACAAGAAGGGGAGGTAGTGATATAAGCAATGATTGCAACAGGACATAGAAAGAATTCAAAGCCTCTATAGTGCTGCCATATGAAAAATGGACATCAGAAACCCTATATATGATTCTTGATAAGTCTGATATTATGTGGCATTCAAACCTACAAGTTCACTGAGAGACAAACATTGTCGGCTTAAGAATTGTATTGACACAGTTAGACACAATAGTTTAATTTACCATCGTGCGATGACTGTGAGTTCAAGTAAATCGGTCAAACTTGTCAGGTTAGCAGAACATACGAATCTGTCTAAGTTTACACTGATAGACTGAAATGAGTAATCTAGAGGAGAAATCAGCCAAAGTGATAACACATAACGAGGTGGGATAGGGTGACAGTCCTAAAGACTAATGTAGTTAAGTGGAGAGATCATCGATTTAACGAATAACGTGAAATAGAAATGGTTCAAAATCCGCTCCAGAAATATTGGAAATCCCACTACCAAACCAAATAGGACAATGGAAAATGAACTAAAGGAGGAAGCTGAAAGGATATGATCAATAAATTCTGCTTGTCCAGTGTGAATAATACTATACTATATTAGTCGGCAACAACATGTTGAGGTATCAGTAGATAATACAAAACTTTATGAACCGCAAGTTGTATTTCTTTAAAAAGGTGCGATCCTGACAAAAAGTAATACACATAATGTTCAACCACTAAAGAGACATGATTTTTGTTTGATCTACAGAAAAGGAGAAACGTGAGAAAAAAATTCTCTCCCAGAATTCAGTAACTGTTAGCATGACACCCAGGTAAATAATGTTATATGTATAACACTAGCTAACAGTAGGCGTGTTCTCATGCTTTTGTACCAAACTAAGTAGAGATATATACATATATAAAATAACCGGATGGAATACATGTCAAAACGAGAGGAACAATACACAGGTCAGGTTATGATATTTCTCTTACTCAAGGGTTAACAACAAAAAAGTATAAACAAAGACGCAATTCAACTTCAGTGAAAAATTCTTTCATTATTCTTCACCTATTTTTCAGTGGATGAAGCTTGCTGAAATAAACACTTAGCAGAACGATTCAATTTTACAACACGGGAACGTAGAGAATTAGCTACTTTGGAATTGGCTTTCATAGAACTATTTGGTGAATTTAATAGGGCCTCAAGACGAGCATTCAATAGATTCAGAATTGCGGGTCCATGAACTGATGTAGTCGGATCGTCAGGTTCAAGACAGAGGACAGCTTCTTGAAGATATCTAAAAGGCGACGACAGAAAGAATAATAATGCTGATAATTATAAGAATAAAGTCATCGAGTAATGCATGGGATTTGCTTAAGAAGATTAATGAAATTGAGGAATCAAGTTTTTTAGAAGAAATAGATACCATGTTTATGAATCAATATGTACCGATTTTTAGTGTAAGTAGGCTTGCCTTTTAACACGAAGACAAATCACATTGCTTAAGATCAAGAAGAAAATGAAAGAAACGAAGGGTCAGGGTCAAGGAAAAGTGATTTCAAAGGTCAACCTAATAACCTAAGGTTTCTTTCACAAAAATATCATTCTGGAGACTTTAATTAAGGTCTATGTTGCATTTCTCATTACAACCAATCCTCATTGATCACTCTGGTGGTTAGACGAAAAAATCGCAGTATTAAAACGGTCATATGCGAAGAAGATACCAATTGTAACCAAGATCTGGAACATCTACTCTAAGGCAAAGTAAACCTTGGATATCATGTGATTATCTACAGTAATAACTATCATTTTCAGGATTTGGTTTAAGAAGCGTATGCAGGTGACAGAAATTATCAGTTACTTCGTAAGCTCATAGGTGTTTCACTTCAATTCGTTTACCAAACAGTATTATCTACTGAATAACAGTTTCGGATACGATTCATTGTCCCATATTCATGTTAAGGTAACTTCATAACTTTGAGATTTGCCTTGGATACTTCTAGTTCTTGTTTTTCGACAGAGGGGATAGAACTTTCCAGACATCGGGAACAAATTATGAGATAAGGCTCATCAACTCTGAATACCTGACTTTCAAGCAGAGTCCTGCGCTTAAACTAAGCTCCACTTACTTCGACCAGAGAAACCGGGTAGTATCTTGTATAATTCTTCTTTCAATTTCGTTGGTTGCTATTAGTAGTCAGTTATTAATAGTTTTACTAGCGGAACAAGTGTTAACACAAATAATCTGATTACTATTAGTTTCAGATGAACAGATTTATTGGTCATTTTCAACGATAGTTGAGATCGACAGTCTGAGAACGATAGCGACTAAGTTGGGCTTAATATTCATAAAATTCCTAGTCAGTAGAATGCAATTAACACTGATAATCATATAATATTGGTCACAGTTTACTCATCAGTTACTGATATGCACATCCTCTTTAGCACTAAAAATCGTTAGAAATTGGCAGTTAACAAAAGAGAAATAGTCTAACTCACATTTCATACACAAGCATATATGTTTTTGTGAGTGTTCTAGGGTTATGTAAAACAGAACTCTTTGTAGGTCACGCGTCACAAGAAAGCAAAATAAACATAGAACCTGGCACAGAAGTCTATCGATTAAAGTTACCACGAACAATAAGTGGAGAGGAAAACAGTGACGTGAAAATTAAAAAAAGGCATATGGGAGGAGAAGGTAATAAAAAGATGAAGGTTAATACGGATATTCACAATTGGAAAGTCACGAAGAGTGTTTACATCTCCACAAAGACTGATCTACTCCCTGGTTTGCATTCACAGCCTCTGTCAGGGAAGTCCTATTCACGTAGCCGGTGGAAGCGAATGTTCGGCGCTTATTTCCGAATTGCTGGATACTGAGGGTTCACTTAGGAGGTTTGGAAAACCCTGATTCCAAACCAATGGTACAGGGTCTCGTGAACGCACTGAGCAGAAAGCTGAGTAGGTTCGGAAGTCATGCGTTCCGCAGCTGTCAAATATAAGATGATGCTCCAGGACTGGTCCGCACCTACTCCCAATTCAAGAATAGGGAGTGAAGTGATGGAACGTGTCGATCACTTCACTTCACTTGAGGAATTCCATCAGCCCGAAAGGGCTAGGTTGCTGACGCAATCTCAGTTCGGATACAGAAGATCCATTTGGCACTTGCCAACTTGCGTAATTTGTAGCGCGCCAACTGGCGAGATATCCGACTACCTATCAAAGGACAAGTATACTGCACTACAAGTTCACTGTCTTGCTATACAGCTGTGAGACATGGTAGTTAAAAGTAGAAGACATAAAACGACCACAGGTTTTTAATCACAAGTGTCTTCTCAGCATTGCTCGCATCTAGTGGAATCATCCTGTGAGAAATACTGAGGTCAGGAGAAGGGTAGTAGGAAAGACAGGCAAGTTGATTGATGACCTTGTGAACCTCAGTCGACTTCAGATGGCTTGAACGTGTGCCGAGCATACCGATCCACCACCTACCTCAATGTGTAATGCTAGGGGAAGCTGGATTAGGTTGGAACAGGGTTCAGAGTGGCCAGACGAAGACGTGGCACCAATCCATGATGTCTGTGATCGTCGGTCTGAGCCATGTGTGAAGGTGTAGACTGCCTGGACGAAGTCCTCGAGACGATGGGAGTCAGTGTTTGAGAACTCTTGGTGATATGGCTACAAATCGGTCACAAGATCACAGATATATCCACTCCTTGAATATTCGCACTCGCCTTTATCTTCAAATGGTCTATTCTCTACTTTGCCCACTTTGATATCACTTTTTCTTTATCCATCTGTTGTTTGCATACTGCAGTGAAGTGTGGCAACTCGAGCCGATGCACTTGTGTGCGGGGGTTCTATGTTAGTTTTGTTTGTCTATTTACATCTGCGCCACTGTATCCCACTTTAAGCCATATCATCAGCAGTCTCCGGAAATTGGTTCTTATCATCTTAAGGACCCCAGCGTTTTAGCCTACATGACTTAAACTAAGAGTCACATTCATCAACTTGAGTCATTTCATTGTATTCTTCTGAAACGACATTCAAAATCATCGGTGAGTATGCATCTTCGCTTTGACGTCATACCTTAGGAAATATATCTCAAAGTCACTGAATAATGAGTACTGAAAAAAGAACCGTTTCAAGGGAGATGATAAGTTTCACAGCAGTTTTCATCATAGACTAACAATAACCTGCGAAAAATAGTGTAGAATCAATTAATTTTCGTAAAATCAAGCCAATTGTATAAAAAGTACACATCAGAAACGTAGAGACCTAACAAAATTACACATCGTTCAAACGGCTATGGGACCAACAATACCACGCACAGTGTTTAGAAAGATGAATTGGAGGAAATACAACAGTGTGAAAAGAACAGAATGTTTACAACTAAAATTATAGTTGTAAACTAGCCGAAGATTTTGAATCACATCAACCGGAATTACTCTCCAACTACAGATTTTAGTTATCTCGTGGACTTTATACACAAAAGGTTATCCATTTCCCCACGAATCCAAAACTATATGAGCCGGTGTTGTATCTCCTTTCTGTTAGGAAAAATAGATACAAAATAGTCACCAACTAAAATCATTAGTCATTCCGTCTACTTTATATGACTATACAGATACCATACATGAACGTAATTAACATTGATTGTCCATGCAGCTATTTATACAATAAAGATCCACTGTAAGGAGGTAGTAATGGTCGGCTATTTGTTAGACTTGTTCATATTCCATCTTCTGTTCAGTGCATTTCGTCTTCCGTTGGAATTACGAAAAGGCTACTCGGAATTTAAAATACAAAGCTGTTCCTCTGCAACTATCACTAATATCACAAGTTGCAATTCACTAATCTAAGTTATGAGTACACTGACTATGCGATGACTTATGAAAATCCCTAGATGTTCAAGTCGAGTTAGCAAGGAAATGCTTTGAAATTCGGATCAATTATTTGGGTGCCAGTGCCTACGCTAATAGTTCACAAACTGTTCGCAAGCTGAGGCAGACGTGATGACCGGACTTGCACTAACTACTACAATACTTCATGTACATTCAAAACATCCTCAACATATCTGAATCATTTAATGAACAAATCAACACTTACGAAGAGCATTCTTCATAAACTCCTTATGTAAAAATGATTATTAGTATTTCTCCCATGCGTTCCTAGTGGAACATAGGGCTTCAGTAGCACGTCGCCACCGCACTACTCTGTTCTCTACAGTCTTTTCAATCTGCATCCACCACTGCCCACAAGCTTTCATTTCTTCCCTCACACCATCTCCTCTATGTCACCCTTACCTCAGACGCCCAACTCGTCGTTTCCCATTTGCATCCCATTCGAGAGCCTGGGTTCGCCTGACGTGTGGTGTCCCCAATCAGCCTTCTCAGTGAACGCCCAATTCAATCCATCTCCACTTTCTTCTGCATATTTGTTGGGCGATCGGTTCTTGGTTGGCTCCTTACAAGCCAGAGTTCCTTGTTGCTTATTCTTATTATTTTGGACATCTGATCTTCAGTATCGACTGAGCTGAGGCGGCAGCTGTTGATGTATGTTCGCAGTTTGTTGGAAATGGTTTTCGTAACATGCCAAGTCTCTCAACCATCACATACAAGCACTGACTTGACGTTGGTGTTGAAAATCCGGATCTTGTTCACGCTTTAGGCTGAGTGCAGTGCACTGCAGTAGATCTCCACACTGATTTCGGATTAATGAAGGCCTGTCTTGCTTTTCCAATCCTGGCTGCCGTGACATCCTCATCTGTGCCGCCTGTAGTTGAAACGATGCTGCCTAGGTAGGTAAGTGAAAGAGACTGCTTCCTTTAGATTTCTCCCATTGACGGTGATTGGTGCTTGTTGTTGATACTGCTGTTGATTGGGTATCTTTATCACCTCTGTCTTCTCTACGTTCACCTGAAGGAAGTCCCGTCTTCCTTCGCTGCCTCGCCTCTTCTGCCAACTTGTTGGTTTTTGCCCACAGATCTTCTAGTTTGTGCTACAAGACATGACACATAAATAATCGGCGAAATTCAAATCTTCTCCTGGGGTCTTTTCATCCATCCAGTCAGCGCATGCCCATCTTCTCGCTCCTCACAGTTTGTTGCACGATCCAGTCGACCACAATCAGTAAGATTATCGGTAATAGTAGGCGGCAGCGTTGTCTCACTCCCTCTTCACTTCGAAGGCGTCACTGAGTTTTCCATTTTGAATCACTTGGTGTGGCGTCGTCATATAGCTGTTGAATGAGGTTGATAAAGGTTTGTGGTATTCCGTAGTGTTGAAGCAGTTGCCAAATTAATTCTCGGTCGACGCTGTCGAAGGCCGTTTCAAAATCGATGAAGTTGAGGTAGAGAGTTGAATGCCATTCTATACTCTGTTGTATGATAATGCGTAGCATAGCGTTACAATTTGATTCGCACATGATTTGTTCTTCCTGAAGCCAGCCAGCCAGCCATCCTGTTCCGGTAGTAATTTTGAATCCAGCGCATCTTTTAGTCTCTCCAGGATGATGTGGCATAATACTTTGCTTGGAGTGGACAGGAGTGGAGCATGATTCTTCGCCAGTTCTTGCAAATACTCAGGTCTCCCTTCTTTGGAAGCTTGACAAGGTAGCTCTTCTTCCAATCTACAAGTACCTCTCCTTCCTTCCAGACCTTCTGCAGTAGTGATGTGAGCATGTCTGCTGTTGTCTCTGTGTCTGTTTTCAGTGCTTCTGGTGGAATTCCATCTGGTCCCGTTGCTTTCCCGCATTCCAGTAGCCTTATGGCATTCATGACTTTTGCTTTTGTCGGAGGGCCTGTATCCACCGACAGTTCTGCCATCCTTCTTGACCTTATCTCGTGTTCAGGTAGGCTGGCTGCGTCTCCACTTTCTTCACATTGAGATGAAGTTGATCTGATTTTTAGTGTATCCTGGCGTCCGGTGAAATCAAACCCACGTCGCTGCCTTGTGAATATCCTTCTGTTTGTACACACTGCCTCACCTCCAATCACCAAATCATTAAATGCGCAGAATTCTGCAAACAGTTCTCCATTCTCATTCATTTCTCCGAGTGCTTCTCGACCCATGATCAGTTCTCTTCTCGTGTTGTCCGTTCCCAGTTTCGCATTCACGTCACCCATTAGAATTTTGATGTCGCCAACTGGGGCGGGGTCTTGTCCAGTACTGATTCCAGTTGTCTATAGAATCCCTCCTTCTTCTCTTCATCTGCATTATTTGTAGGCACGTAGCACTGAATGATTGTGACTTTCCTTCCTTTCGAGTTGCACCTTGCTGTTATGATCCTCGAGGAGATGGGTTCCCTCTGTATGAGAGAGAGCCTTCGATGCTGTTGGGATGGGGACATCATGATAGCCACTCCGAAACTCAATGTGTTCATGGTTGTCGTCTTGGTGACATTATCGGAGCAGATTATTAACTCTCTAGTTGTCAGTTGGGAGAGTCCACTTCCATTCTATCTGCTTTCGCAGATTCCTAGCACTTGTATGCCTTACCTTCGCATCTCTTTTGCAATCTGAATAGCCTTGCTAGGTTCATACATGGTGCGGACATTCCATATCCCCATGCTTACTTTTGCTTTCATGGAGAGAAGAGAAGACACATCGACCAATTGACTTCCTGAAGGCTTTCACCAACCGGCGTCATTTTGTCTCCCAGGTTCCAGCGAGGAATAAGTTTGTTTTTATTTTTTATAATTTCCTAGTGTTTTGAAGTATCTTCAGCGGTTGTATTGGCTTTAAGGTGTAGGGTTGTTAGCCTTATGCCCAACCTTCCCCCTTTTTTGCGGGCTTAGGACCGGCTAGTAACTAGTGAACTAGTTAACTGGGAGTGGTTTTATGTGATAACTATTTCAAATTTCGTTGCATAAAAACTTGGAGGTTACAAAAGCATTTCTAACAAACTGCGAACATACATCAACAGCTGCCGCCTCAGCTCAGTCGATACTGAAGATCAGATGTCCAAAATAATAAGAATAAGCAACAAGGAACTCTGGCTTGTAAGGAGCCAACCAAGAACCGATCGCCCAACAAATATGCAGAAGAAAGTGGAGATGGATTGGATTGGGCGTACACTGAGAAGGCTGATTGGGGACACCACACGTCAGGCGAACCAGGCTCTCGAATGGGATGCAAATGGGAAACGACGAGTTGGGCGTCTGAGGTAAGGGTGACATAGAGGAGATGGTGTGAGGGAAGAAATGAAAGCTTGTGGGCAGTGGTGGATGCAGATTGAAAAGACTGTAGAGAACAGAGTAGTGCGGTGGCGACGTGCTACTGAAGCCCTATGTTCCACTAGGAACGCATGGGAGAAATAATAATAATAAACTTGCATAGTTTAAAAATGATGAAGTAAAAGAATTTAAAATTATCTCGATGGCTTTTTGCATAACGTATCGCTGCACAATGTGATAGCTAGGTTTGAATCTGTTCTCTTTTATAACCTACAGTCGATAAGAGCCACCATATAAAGTAATGACAACCACGTTAGCATCTAAATAGAACCAAAACAACAGCCAACACCTATGAACGTGCAGCAGCAACACATTGAACCTACTTCTTTAGCTTATCACCTTTGACTTATGGAGCTGTTATGGCTGACTGGATTGGTTTCAACCAGGAAGCCATGTGTTCTAATCTTAGTTCATCTTTCGAAATTCTAGCAGTATCAGTAAACCTAAGGCCTATGACACAGTTATTAGCATAAGAACCTTTGTGTGGATGTTAAGTTGCATGCGTAGATTACAGGTTGTTAGCATCATCGATTGTCGTCAGGTGAAAAACCACTGAAAACTTTGAAGCAACCAATTGCTTTTTCTTTCTAGTTTAAGATTTCTCCTCGGTGGTATGCATCGATGATACAAAAAGAAACTCACCGAATTTTTAAATCCAGTTGAACATTTAAATCACCACAGCTTAATTGATGAATCAGAGAGAGTAGAACATTTTGTCCAATTTTATGATCACCAGAACCGAAAAGTTGATTCACATCAATATCATTACACACATCAAGTAACAGTGGTTGGTTGGTAGACACTAATGCCTATAAAAAGAGAAGTACAAGAAACCTAATTAGCAAACGAAGCATTGTTGTTCGTGGCATATATATATATATATATATATATATATATATATATATATATATATATATACGTAAAGTCACTCTTTTCATGAAATATTTTCAATGAAGTTTACATTTGATTGTAAGTCAGGAGATCGGAAAAAAGAAATTACGTAATGTTTGAGATAGTAATGAGCAGAAGAATTACCAAGATGGAAGTAATATTTGATTACTAAATTAAATTATGTAACACTTTGAATGTAAAGAGAAATTAGAATTCTAGGAGCAGAAAAATATGTGAGATCTGAATGAGAGCATTTTTGAAGGAAAAAATCTTATTGGTTATGTCCATTGCAACTCAAGTGATTGGAGAAGTTTCTTTTAAACACAGTGTTCAGGCTTCAAAATATTACTTATCGTAGCTTCCGCAGTTTCAAAAGATTTTCTGCATTCACCGAGTGGTCTCAATCGATCAAGTGTTCTAAAACAGAGCTCTGAAGGGTCCTCCTTTCTCTATTGAGGAACCAGGCCGGTATATGTTCAGAAATGAATTTGCAAAGTGAACGCTGAGTACGGTCAATATACCTTACTCCACAGGAGTACGTGAATTGATAAACACACGTCAAAGTGGCCAAGAGAACCAGCTTATCCTTTACGCAGAATCAAAGCATTGGGCGGGCGGAGAAAGTTAATCTGAGTTTGGCAGTATAAAAAGTCTTTCTCAATAGGTATGCCAGATGGCTTCTCAATATATCTGCCAATGTGACTCCATTGAACTGTAAGCTCATGAAAAGAGGCTTCTTAGGAGCCGTAGAAGTGGGGTGATTATTTACTTTCAGTTTCATACTTTTGGCAATGAAACGCCCAACATGCTGGTTTTCAATCAAAACATCCCAGAGAAAATTAAGTTCATCTTCCAAAGTATCAGAACTGCAGATGGTGTCGATCCTATGGCACATGGAGCAGATTAGGTTTCGTCTGGTGCATAGAGGCACTCAACTGTGAAAATTCGTAAGTTGTCCGCTCCATGTGGGTTTCCTGTGGATAGACCTTTCAAGTAATCCATTGTCACGTCTTTTCAGCTGCACATCTAAAAAGGATATCTTAGAACTCAGTTCCTTCTCTGGTATGAACCTGATTGGAGGGTTGCAGTTATTAAATTGAGACAGGACATCTTCCAGATTACCCGTACTATTGGAGATGATGGTGTCAGCTATGTATCGCTTTCATATATATGTACAGAAAGAGAGACAGACAGACAAACAGACTAAATCAACGTAGAACCTCGCACGCAAATGCATCGCTTCAACTTGCCACACTTCACAGTAGAATAAAAAGCACAAGTGGATAGAAGAATAGTGACATCAAAGTAGATAAAGTTGCATGAGAGAACAAACAGTTTGAAGATAAAGGTTAGTGCAAAGGTTCAAGCTTTAGAAGACGTCAAGGGGTGGACACTTTTGCATCATTGTGACCGATTTGCAGCCATGTCACCAAGAGTTCTCAACCATTGACTCCTATCGTCTCGGGGACTCCAGCTACGCAGTCTGCATCTCCACACACGCCTCAGACCAACAGTCAGGTTCTTTATGGATCGGAGCCATGTCTTGGTCTGGCCACCATGAAACCTCTCTCTCAGTCAGCAATGGAAAATTAAGAAGTCTAAATATTCGTTATTCAACGAGAATGGTTGTTGTCTGTCAGTGACCTCGTGGATAACAGTTTCTGTTCCTTGCTACTATCATATCGTGTGAATATACCAGCTCCACAGGAAATTAGTCATGGCTGGTTGAACAACACTGAGTTATGCAAGTTTGAATTTCCGGTGAGACATGACAGGGTAACGTAGAACCCAGCAGATAAGTGCATCTTTTTAATTTGCCACATATCACACAAAAATGAAATTAAAGACAAGTGTGCAAGAGATGATAGAAATAAATACATGAAGATTAATAAAAAGTTGGAAGATGATGGGGATTGTGTACACATCAATTTGGTACCATATCACAAAATATCTCCATCGATTGATCCTTAATATTTCAAGGAACCCAGTCGGTTATGCAACTTACGTTTCTCTACACGGCTGAAACTAACTAGTTACCGACTTCTAAGGTAGATAGGATGTTTTGGTACGGTTTCCTTCAAACCCAACTTTATTCGGATTAGCATCGCAAGTTGAGGTAGGTGGTGATTCGGTATGGGCGACATAAGTCCAAGCTACATCGAATAATTTACCTTCTTTACCTAAAGCTATAAGCCTAACTTTTTAAAACTTAAACGCTGCTAACATGACGGCTTCATCCAATCTCACTACACACTACAGAAGCCATTGTAATAAAAAGAGAGTTGTTTATTTCGATAATTATAAGTTCAAATCGAGTTGGGATTTGATGGTTTGAAGAAAACTTCAGCATTGGGTAAATGATATTCATTATTTTGGCATTTGATTTTCCCAATAAATCTCCAACAATACATTTATTTCAACTGACGTTTCTCTACTTAGTGTTAATACCTTTATCAAAGTAATATCCATGTGTAGTGTGTTACGTGTGAAGAGTGTGTGAATTGCAGATTGAGATTTGTATGTATACGTGTGTTGATGGTTCTTATCGCATATATGTTGGTTATGGCAGTATGTGGGTGTGGGTTGAGACCAGGTCAAACTACGTTTTACCTCCTCATTCCTATTTAAACAATTATGATTCCACATAATGTCAGGAGATTTTGCTATGGGATGTTCTTCATAATTTCGAAAACCTTTCTGAATAGTTTCGATATTGTCAAAATCAACCTTGTGACCTGAAGTTATAGCGTGTAAAGCTATAGCTGATGCGTTTTCAAGTTTTTTTCAGTTCTACTGGGTTTCTAGGGAGTCTGATGGAAGCTGTTCGGTGTTCATTTTTCCTAATTTTGATTTCACGGGACGTTTGTCCTATGTATACTGCATCATAGTCTGAGCATTTTATTTTATGAACACAATTAGACTGTAAATCTAGAGGGATCTCGTCCTTCAAATGAGCTAAGGTGCTCTGCGATGTGTTTGATGTTCTGTAGAACGCTCTGATATTGTATTTGTTGAGCACTCTCCTAACTTCATCCGATGTGTGTTGGTCTGTAAAGGATGACTATTATTGAGACCCATGATTTAGGAGTAGTTTTACGATCTAATTCAATGTTATTTTCTATTTTGCGAATGAATTTTACCGGATTATTATTCGCACACATAACATACTACATATGGATATTACTTTTATTTTACAATTCTGATGATGCAGTAATCTCTGCACGGATACAAAAGGCTCGATTGGCTTTTGCCAATTTACGCCACCTATGGTGTCGCCGTGGTATCGGTTTTTTATTAAGGGTCGCGTGTACTGCACAGCAGTCCAGTCTGTTCTACTCTATGGCCATGAAACATGGCCATTGAAAGTGGAAGATATAAAAAGACTTCAGGTGTTTGACCACCGTTGCCTTCATAGTATAGGCCGTATTCCGTAGTGTCACCATGTGAGTCATGCAGAAGTCAGGAGTAGAGTTTTAGGGAGTAGAGATAAATCAGTTGATGAGGTTATGAACCTTCATCGACTGAAATGGTTGGGACATGTACTACGTATGCCTAGTCACCGACTGCCTTGTCACACAATGTTGGTCGAAGTAGGTCTAGGCTGGAAAAAGGCTCGGGTGGCCAGACTAAAACATGGCACCAATGTATGAAGTATCTGACTGTTGGTTTGAGCCATGAAGGGCGATGCAGACTAGCCGGTTGGGGTACATGGGAAAAGAGGAACCAGTGGTTGGATACTCTAGGGGATATGGCTGAGAACCGATGTCAGTGGCGCAGATGTATACATGCGTTATCCTCATCTTAACGATACTATACCGAATCCCACTATTTTGTCACTCCTCTTTCCTTTCTTGTACTTTATATTTCTTTTGACTGCATTCACTTATCTTCATCCTTCACCTCACTACCTTTCTACTTGATGAACTGACGTGAGGTGTGGCAACTCGGACCGTTACGCAGTAATGCCTGGTCCTATGTTGATATTGACTGATTGACAATGCAGAATTACTCATGCAGAACACTTATCAGGTTATCATACATAAGCTTGGATATTGTGAATTCCGATGTACTATAACTTTGATAAAGGTATTAACACTAAGTAGAGAAACGTCAGTTGAAATAAATGTATTGTTGGAGATTTATTGGGAAAATCAGCTACAATAAAAACAGTATTTTTAGGTGCAAGATCAAACATCTAAGTTGAATCACTTCTATAGACTGAATACTGTGTACATAACACATCACCATATTTCACTTGTTTATTCTACTATGAGATGACAGTACATAGAAAAGATCTGAATACATACTACTTCAAGTCTACCTATTTTGTTCACCTTCAATACACATTTTCAACAAATAATTTGAATGCTGAATTCTTTAGAGATGTGAAAAGTATCAAACTGATTGTTGTAAGTTTATTATGTGCCACAACTAAGTTAAAGGTGGGAACAGAGTTGGGTGTCAAATCAATTTAATAGACAAACCAATTAACGATGGGAGTTTAAACAAACCAGTTCCAATGCAGCAACCAGACGATTCGATCGAATCAACACTTGAGCTTGTCCAATTAAGCGAGCTAATTCATCTTGTTTTACCAGTGATGACGGCGGTTGAGGCTCTTGAACGATTTCATTACCAGCAGCTTGACCTTTAATCTTTGAAGTGGACGTAGTATTTGAATTTGTGTTCAATTTTTTACTGTTCAACTTCTTAGTTGATGATGATGAGGCTTTGTTCTGATTAGTGTTGGTGTTATTACTGCTACTGTTAGTTACACCACTAGATAAATAACTATCACTATGATCAGAATGAACATCTCCAGGGTGAACTGATTTCACTTTCCCAGTGTTGACAACGGTCTCTGCAGTAACACACCGAATATCAGTTTCTTTAAGTGTTGCACTGATTGTTGACTAGTTGGTGAGGGAGAAATGAAAGCAGAAAAATGCATACTCTTAAGTAGCTAAAATCTTTTTTAAAGTCAGTAGAGTGTTATGTATAACATGCATAGCTCAGAGAAAACAACGCAACCAGTATGGAAGTACTGTTTGAGAAAATATAATGTGTACCACAATCCAACAGTTAAATTGTATTGGGTAAAGCCGATCTAAGTTCCAAAGAACAAAGCTACAACAAGGGAATCAAAAAGTTGAATGCAACTAATTAGCATGATTCTAAGAAATGTCTCATTCCAGAATTTCATGTGTAGTTAAAACTTTAAAAGAAATCTGTATAGTAAAAAATCGTCTCTCAGGCTATAATTTTTAGTCAATGCTTGGTTCAGTGATGACAAATAATGTATAGGAACCGATGGTTTCACTTGGGTTTAGGTTTCTTGGTACATGTCAGTAGGGTGCATCTGCAACTTCAAGGGAATCGATGTCTATTTAGAGATGTGAACGTGAGTCACCCATTGGTGTGATAGTGATACATAAGACACCTGGCAAATTTTATGTATGAGTTGGGGTATATTGAGTGTGACGCCATATATTCTGATGAGGCACCACACCTGAAAATTAGAAGCCCGAATGAATATTGTTAAGAAACAGTACGTGAAAGTCTGCACATACTGGGTAAGCTTGAAAAAGGTTAAGGTATTGTTAAACAAATGTCGTTGTATAAGCAATATCGAATATCAACCGTGACGGCAAATGTCCTACAAAACAGTCTTCATTCAAAATAAAGTCACTGTAGAAGCTTTACTTAATTACTAATACCTTTCTATAAATAACTGGAGAGTGGGAGGACAAATATACAAATTAAGATAATAGGGGATTAAAAGTAAGAAGGAAGAGAACGAAAACGGGAAGAGTGACAGTTGATCCTAATCTTGGTAAGAAAACAAAGTTTACCAAGGTGGGTGCAGTGGAAGAATAAATTATTTTTGTGCACACATAAAGGTGGTTTCAATCTGTGTATGGCTATCGCTTCCACAAGTACCTCTTTGTGGGTCCCTGAATTTATCTATATAAAACTTTGAGAGCTATTTGAACATTAATTTTGAAACCTGTTTCTGTAATATGCTTAGCTATAGATGAAGGTCATGTCCTACCTGCCTCTCCCGCCTACCTTTCTGCAGTTAACAAATAAAAAGGAATTAAATAAACTTTATATATGACAAACACCAGTAAATTGCATAAACAGTCTCAAATAGAAATTACTAATATCCGTTGTGCAAGAGGTGCTTATCGTGTCCCAGTGGATAATGCTTCAACGTTTGAAGCGATAGGTATTGGGTTCGAATCTCAGTGGCAACGACATCATTCACTGTAGTGTATGTACGTACATCCAGCTGACGAGGCCGAAACAGGACGGAATGTACGTCCTGGAATCCACTGCTAGGCACAATAAATTAAATGACAGAAATAAATATTCAGGCGATATCGAGGCATCACCATGGGAACCCATATGCCAACAGAGGTCGATCAATTCAACCTAGTATAACAACAAAGAGTTACATATATCTAGGAATAATAATATGAGGTTTTACAAATATATTTCATTTATAATACGGGATAGTTCCTCATCTTTCGAAAAGTTCATCTTCACAAAACGCTTAACAATAGAGTTGTTAAAGGAATTTTCAGTCTCCTCTAGACAGCCATCCAGGATAGTATTCGGAGATGCGTTTGGATAGAACATGTTCTATGAGACCTATGTAACCAGCTCTACAAGAGTGGGTGAGTTGGCAAACACACATGAAGCTATATAGGTAAGTTTTAATATAATCCCAGTGTGTTTAGAAAATCGAAAACACGATGGGATTATATTAAAACTTACCCATATAATGAATCAACCTGACTCAGTGCTCAACTTCTTTCAGGATATTCGTAACAACTTTGGCCTGGATGTTTATAATACATGTAGGTAGTTTAACCTTTATACACCGACGAATCTGAAAGAAAACGATCGAAAGTTGGGCGGAAAAAAGGTCTTCTTCAGTGCTTTGCACAATCGATTCGTCAGTATTTCTGCCTATTTATCTTCTTTGAGTCCAATATTCATAAATATCGTCTTCTTTGAAATCCTCAGGACTCATGTTCCCCTCTCTATGAATCTCCAAGGATAACCATTCTCGATGAACACTCTCCAAAGTACTTCTAGGTTTTCATTTATTGTTTTATCCGTACAAATTCTTCTAATTCTTATACCTAGTTAATGAATTAAATACCACAGAACAACCTGACTGCTTTCTAACTAAGTCATTCAGTAGTAGTATATTTCACTAGTTCATGACACTTTTGTGACAGAGGTCACACCTTAAGACCTTGGCTGGAGAGTGTTTTCAAACGTAAACCCTGTTGACACAATAGTTAAACAACTAAAGAATTTTTTTAATTTGGGGATTCGTGGGGATTAAGTGAACAGCTGTTCAGTGCTCCCCAGTTCCCAATGTTTCTCCAACTTATGTCAGTTCATGATGAATACCAACTTGAAAAATTGAAAAACTACTAGTTGTTGGAAATGCAAACGTGGACAGTGCAATTTGCGAATCATTTGCAAACTGATTATCCTGTTTTAGGAATACCGGTTCCATATTGGACTTGCTTATTTGCTTTATAACACATAGTGATCTAGTGTTATTTACTTGATGACGTTTCCAGCATAAATTATCGCTCACAATCCTATCAATGTAATCACACTCCTTTCGGTACTTGATTTTTACAGTTATGCACCTTATATGAGTTGTTTTTATTGGTAACAAAATTCTCCATATCTCTGGTCTAGCTGTTGAGTCATTTCTATTACGGTTGCGTGATGATTCAATAAACAAAGATTCAGAAATCAATCTCTCTCTCCACCTAATTATATTGGACTCAAATACAGAAACGTCAAAGCACTAAGAAATTATAAAAATAAAAACAAACTTATTCCTCGCTGGAACCTGGGAGACAAAATGACGCCGGTTGGTGAAAGCCTTCAGGAAGTCAATTGGTCGATGTGTCTTCTCTTCTCTCCATGAAAGCAAAAGTAAGCATGGGGATATGGAATGTCCGCACCATGTATGAACCTAGCAAGGCTATTCAGATTGCAAAAGAGATGCGAAGGTAAGGCATACAAGTGCTAGGAATCTGCGAAAGCAGATAGAATGGAAGTGGACTCTCCCAACTGACAACTAGAGAGTTAATAATCTGCTCCGATAATGTCACCAAGACGACAACCATGAACACATTGAGTTTCGGAGTGGCTATCATGATGTCCCCATCCCAACAGCATCGAAGGCTCTCTCTCATACAGAGGGAACCCATCTCCTCGAGGATCATAACAGCAAGGTGCAACTCGAAAGGAAGGAAAGTCACAATCATTCAGTGCTACGTGCCTACAAATAATGCAGATGAAGAGAAGAAGGAGGGATTCTATAGACAACTGGAATCAGTACTGGACAAGACCCCGCCCCAGTTGGCGACATCAAAATTCTAATGGGTGACGTGAATGCGAAACTGGGAACGGACAACACGAGAAGAGAACTGATCATGGGTCGAGAAGCACTCGGAGAAATGAATGAGAATGGAGAACTGTTTGCAGAATTCTGCGCATTTAATGATTTGGTGATTGGAGGTGAGGCAGTGTGTACAAACAGAAGGATATTCACAAGGCAGCGACGTGGGTTTGATTTCACCGGACGCCAGGATACACTAAAAATCAGATCAACTTCATCTCAATGTGAAGAAAGTGGAGACGCAGCCAGCCTACCTGAACACGAGATAAGGTCAAGAAGGATGGCAGAACTGTCGGTGGATACAGGCCCTCCGACAAAAGCAAAAGTCATGAATGCCATAAGGCTACTGGAATGCGGGAAAGCAACGGGACCAGATGGAATTCCACCAGAAGCACTGAAAACAGACACAGAGACAACAGCAGACATGCTCACATCACTACTGCAGAAGGTCTGGAAGGAAGGAGAGGTACTTGTAGATTGGAAGAAGAGCTACCTTGTCAAGCTTCCAAAGAAGGGAGACCTGAGTATTTGCAAGAACTGGCGAAGAATCATGCTCCACTCCTGTCCACTCCAAGCAAAGTATTATGCCACATCATCCTGGAGAGACTAAAAGATGCGCTGGATTCAAAATTACTACCGGAACAGGATGGCTGGCTGGCTGGCTTCAGGAAGAACAAATCATGTGCGAATCAAATTGTAACGCTATGCTACGCATTATCATACAACAGAGTATAGAATGGCATTCAACTCTCTACCTCAACTTCATCGATTTTGAAACGGCCTTCGACAGCGTCGACCGAGAATTAATTTGGCAACTGCTTCAACACTACGGAATACCACAAACCTTTATCAACCTCATTCAACAGCTATATGACGACGCCACACCAAGTGATTCAAAATGGAAAACTCAGTGACGCCTTCGAAGTGAAGAGGGAGTGAGACAACGCTGCCGCCTACTATTACCGATAATCTTACTGATTGTGGTCGACTGGATCGTGCAACAAACTGTGAGGAGCGAGAAGATGGGCATGCGCTGACTGGATGGATGAAAAGACCCCAGGAGAAGATTTGAATTTCGCCGATTATTTATGTGTCATGTCTTGTAGCACAAACTAGAAGATCTGTGGGCAAAAACCAACAAGTTGGCAGAAGAGGCGAGGCAGCGAAGGAAGACGGGACTTCCTTCAGGTGAACGTAGAGAAGACAGAGGTGATAAAGATACCCAATCAACAGCAGTATCAACAACAAGCACCAATCACCGTCAATGGGAGAAATCTAAAGGAAGCAGTCTCTTTCACTTACCTACCTAGGCAGCATCGTTTCAACTACAGGCGGCACAGATGAGGATGTCACGGCAGCCAGGATTGGAAAAGCAAGACAGGCCTTCATTAATCCGAAATCAGTGTGGAGATCTACTGCAGTGCACTGCACTCAGCCTAAAGCGTGAACAAGATCCGGATTTTCAACACCAAC